CTCGGGACAACCGCGAGAGGGAGGAGGCAGAGGCAGAGGAAGCGGGCGGAGGAGGGAGAGGAGGGGGGCCGGGAGAGAAGGACGAAGCCGGCGGTGCTCCCTGGTCTTCCCCGCCAATGAGCAACGCGTAAGAGTGACCCTGGGCAAGAGTGGCCTCTGGTGCGCGGCTTCTTGGGGGCCGCGGGGGGACCAAACCCAAGCGCGCAGGACGCCAGTGCCGCCTCGCGTTCAGTTACCTGGGGGCCCCAATGGGTCCGCACCAAAAGAAAAACCAAGCGGTACCGATACCGGGGGTGCGTTCTGACCAGGATTTCGAAGCGAAACCAGCGGTGGCGACGAGGGCCGCCCAGGGGCCCAAAAAGGGAAAAACGAGGGGAGGGTAGAGGCGCGGGTACCCTTTCCTCCCCTGACAGTGGGCCCGCACCGCAGGCCACTCCTGCGAAAGGTCACTCCTACGTCTGGCCGAGCCCCGTCCATCGCCGCTCCTCAGGGCGAGCAGGCCGGTGGCATTCGTGCCGTTGGCGCCCTGGCGCGCGGAGAGGAGGAGGGTGCGGAGGCAGGGCGGCGCCCTGCTAGGGGCGGGCAGCAGCGGGCTCAAGTGAGGAGGTGGAGGGGTGGCGGAAGCGCAAGACGGGTTGAGGAGGGCGGACGAGGAGGAGGAGGAGGAGGAGGAGAAGGAGGAGGAGGCGGAGGAGGAGGAGGGGGGAGGGAGGAGGGAGGAGGAAGAGGAGGAGGAGGAGGAGGCGGAGGAGGAGGAGGGGGGAGGAGGGGGGAGGACCTTCCTCGCAGTTCTGAGCAATCTCGGGTTTCCTCCTCCTCTTCCTTCCCCTCTTCATCGGCCCGTCTGTCACTTTTACTTGTGCTTCTGATATCCTCACCGCTGGCGACCCCTGGAGTGGTGTTCCCAAGGTCGCCTGGCCTTAATTTGGTCAACCCCGCATGGCCGACCGGGCATGGCGGGGGAGGCAGCACCCACTGGGACCGCATGCAATCAGGAACCGTGAACCAGGAGGAGGACCAGCGCAACCCTGAGACTCACCACCGATATTGCAATAAACCCTCCGTCCAAGTTCCTTGTTCAATTGCTCCCAAACGAGGGTTCGTTTTCGTGTCAGGAAATGCCCCGCTGGAAAACAACAATTTGAAAATCCTGGGGCTGCGCAAGAACACCATTCCTGGGACTTCAACACCGCGAATCAACGTGACTGGTGCGCACTGACGCTCCGAAATGCTGCCGAACCGCAATTGCATAAGAATCCTTGAAACTCCTTTAAACTATTGAGACGAATGTGCGCGGGGCTAAAACGAGAATCAAATGTTCAAAGGAACCGCCTCCCATCCGCGAAACTCTTGCAACATGTTTGAACGAATGTGCGCAACCCGCAGGCGAGAGCCACATTTTGAAAACGGCCCACCCTCCATCCGTGAAGCTGGTCTGCCATCTCCTGAATTGAATGCGCGGGGCGCCAAGGCGAGAGCAACGTTTTGAGACGGCCCGCCCTCCATTCATGAAGCTATTGCAACAATTGAAAAAATGCGCACGGCGCTCAAACGAGAACCACATCTTGAAAACGACCCGCCCTCCATCCGTGAAGCTGTCCTATCAAAACTTCAGGATCGTGAATGGTGGGAAGACTCAGGCGAAACGCTCGGCCCGCCCTCTCGACCGGCCTCGGGATGCGACAGGGGGGGGATGACTCAGGAAGAAGAAGGATGGAGGAGGAGGTGCAGGAGGAGGAGGACGAGAAGGATGAAGACGAGGAGGACGAGGAGCAGGAAGAAGAGGAGGGACAGAAATAGGGCGAGCTGCCGTGGCTCGGAAGAGTTCGTCAGACGTTTCAGAAGTGAGGGCGCTGTTTGGTTGGCGGCGGCCAGGTGCTCAGTGCCGATCAGACAAGCGTGGCGCGGCGGGCGCTTAGCTTGCTCAACTTGCCGCAGATGCGAAGTGAGAGTGCAACTCTGCGGGCTGCCTCAGGAGTGGAATGCCCCCCAGGACAAGTAAGTGTTCATCGGGGGTGCACAGGGGAAGGAGGAGGAGGAGAACGAAGAGGATAAGGGGGTGAGGGGGAGGGAGGGTGGGTGGGGGGAGAAGGGAAAGGGCGTGGATGGGGGGGAGGAGGAGGTGGCGGGGGGGGGGGGGACGGGGGGAGGAGGGGGGAGGAGGGGAGAGGGGGAGAATGGGAGGGGGATGGGAGGGGGAGGAATGGGGAGGAGGGGGGGAGAGGGGAGGGTAACGGGGGAGGGGTGAGTGTGGGACAGGGGGAGTGGGAAGGGAAAGGGGGAAAAGAGAGGGAGGGAGGAGGAAGGGAGGCCAGGCCACACCCGGAAAGCGTCACCGACAGGACCTCTGGTGGCTTCTGCCGCCGGCCTGCCCTTGCCCTCCCCCCTCCACCCTCTGTCTCCCTCGCGGGAGCCTGCCGCTGCCTCCAGCCTGCCCGCCCTTCCTCCCCGCCACAAGTACAGAATATGAATACTACTCTCCTCATTCCACGACGGCCCCGAGGTCGCAGCCTGCCCCCCTCTAACGCACATCGTGTTTCGCATCTATAGCCCCCCAAAGGTGATGGATCACAGTTGCTTTGTTTCCAATCCGAACGTTTTCGGTCAGTTTGAGGGGGCTGAACCGAACGGTCATTCACTGTCCCTGGGTGCGTGGCTGAAGTGGAATTCTGCGATGCGGATTGGTGTTGTGGTTGTTGTGGTTGTTGTCGTTGTTGTTGTTGTTGATACTGTTGTTGTTGTCTGTTGTTTGTTATTTGTTGTTTTTTGTTTTTGTTTGTTGCTGTCATCGTCCCACCCGCGACCCACCCGCGACCCACCGGCGACCCACCCCGCGACCCAACCGCGATCCACCCCGCGACCCACCCGCGACCCACCCGCGACCCACCCGCCACCCACCCGCGACCCATCCGCGACCCACCCGCGACCCACCCGCGACCCACCCCGCGACACGCCCCGAGACCCACCCGGCGACCCACCCCGCGACCCACCCGCGACCCACCGCGACCCACCCGCGACCCACCGCGACCCATCCGCGACCCACCCGCGACCCACCCCGCGACCCACCCAAAATTTTCGGCGCCTGCGGCGGGTTTCTTTTGCATTCGTTCCAGGTGGAGAAGTTGCGACACACCCGCGACCCAAACCGCGCCCGCGACCCACCCGCGACCCACCGCCACCAACCCGCGACCCACCGCCACCAACCCGCGACCCACCCGCGACCCACCCCGCGACCCACCCAAAATTTTCGGCGCCTGCGGCGGGCTGTTTTTGAATTCCTTCCAGGTGGAGGTGGAGAGCCCGCGGCCCACCCGCGACCCAGACTACGTTCACCGAATAAGCCAAAACTTCGGCGCCTGCGGCGGGTTTCCTTTGCATTCGTTCCAGGCGGAGAACCTGCGAACCAAACCGCCTTCAGTGTACATGTTAAGATTTTCGGAGCCTGCGGCGGGCTGTTTTTGAATTCCTTCCAGGTGGAGATGGAGAGCCCGCGACCCATACTACGTTCACTGAAGAAGCCAAAACTGGCGGGCTGTTTTTGCATGCGCTCGGGGTGGCCCACCAGCGATCCCCCCCTCGCTGAACTTGTGAGAGCATGCAAATCGGCGCCTGCGGCGGGCTTGCTCGCATTGGTTTGGGAAAGCGCCCTCGTGCTATTCCCCCGATCCGACCCACGTTGACTCTACAACAGCACATCGGCGCCTGCGGCGGGGCTGTGTCCGAACACGTCCATTGACAATCCAGCTGCCTGCTGCACTTCGTCATCCGTGCCCAAAACCTGGGTTCAAAGGAAGCTGTCTCAAGGCGCCCACATTAAGGAGCCTCGTTGCGCTCAAGGACCCTCCTAAGGGGGACGCCATCGACAAGGAAAGTGAGGGCCACGAGGTCCGCCGGCTCGACGCCCGCGTCGCCCGCGCCCGCCCCCTCACTCTTATCCGCAATTGCGGGGTGTTTTTCCAGAATGCCACTCCCGCTGCAGCGTTTGCGCCGTGTTCTGGCTCTCGGCCCTTCCAATTCATACTCCCACTGCAGCGCTGACCTCACTTCTTTGTTGCGGATCTTCCAAATCGTGTTCCCGTTACAGCGTTGGCTGCCATTTAACGCTTGTGAGTTCCTTTTGCGTTCTCCAATCCAGATGTTGTCTGTCCTTCCAGAATGGCGATCTCGATTCATGTTTAGCTTCATGTTCGCACGTCGGGCTCTTCCACAATGACGCTCCCGTCTCATCGTTGGCTTCATTTGTGTGTTCTCGGCCTATGTTGACAAAGGAAACCTACGGCATTGTAAGAGATGGGGGGAAGGGGTACGACGTCAGATATGATGCGAGCGCACCTAGCTTGTCCCTCCCCTCCCCTCCCTCCCTCCCCGAGCCCCCTCCTCTGACCTCGTCCTTCCTACCCTCCTCTCCCCCTCCTCCCCTTCCTCCCTGCCCGTCCTTCATCCCTCCTCCCTCCCCCTCCTCCCCAGTCAGATGTTAGATATTATGTAGGGTATAGAAGCATGCAAGATAGAGCAGCAAAGACAGTGGATAGATAGGGTTATCATCTGCAGACGTCTGGGGTCAACCCCACCGAAAATCTGAGTTTGGTAGCGGAGCGGCCGGACCACGGACCCGCAGTTCCTTCTTGGTATCGACTCTTCCCAGCTTTGATACCACAAGTATTCTACAGCATTGTAGATTCGGGGATCTTCTGACCTGGGTCAATCCAGACCAGGGTCAGCAGGAAACCAAAAAACTGCAGTGCAAGAAAAAAAACTGCAACGCAGGTCTTCGCAAACCAGGGTCAACCAATATGCGCGGCCGCCTCGCGACCACGAGCGGCTCGCTGACCCGGGTCAGCCAGAGGGGGTCTTCGCAAGATCCTGCAGGATCCGGTGCCCTGGCTGACCCCCGTTTGCACTGACCCCCGTCTCCTAGGCCCCGATGGAGTCCTCTCTTCTCGTGCCCGGGAAGACGCAAAGGCCCAGCGGCCTCGAGATCACAAAAAACAACATCGAGACTGTATTGACGAACGGCTCCGGCCCGTTCGACGCCAGCGACACGCTCCTTGCCGACGCGTGCCACTGCAAGGTCAAGAACTACAAGCTCAAGAACTGCCGAGTGCAGTGACGGCATCGGCAGACCTACGAGGCATTCCACTGGAAGAGCACACGAGACAATGCCCTCCTGGATGGCGACCATATGTGAGGAATTTCCCGCTGAGCACTTAGTAGGAGAAATTGTGACTATGGATGCGAATGACGGACATACCGGCTGATTGTCAGGGCAGTGCTATTGTTGGACGACTCAAAGGATCAGCGTACCGCGTCGCCATGACGAGTTCGACGACAAGATGGAAGCATCCTGTATCAAGACGAGGCGTTGAATGCGCTTGCAGAAGGAGCGGATCCAGCACGTGGACTGGAAGCGACACCATCCAGCTTGCAACAAATATTGGCAGACTTGAGGACGGCCTTCGGAGATGACAGTCAAGATCTGCAGGCATTCCACCTCGATCGTTTCTTCGAGCTGTATCGCGGCTAGCACAGTTTGCTGGACTACCTGACGGCGTTCAAGCTACGATATGAACCAGCAGAAGAGCGCGCCTCGCTCAGCATCAACAACTCCGGGCTCACACACCTACTTCTAAGCAGAGATGGACTGGCACCACGATGTATTGACAACCTGATGCTGAAAGTAAATGTAAACCGAGGCCAGTTTACAGAAATCGATCAGATATTCATGAATTTCAGCAAAGGGCAGAAATGTTTTGGCGAAGGCAGAGATCAAAGCGGCATACTCCTTCAAGAATGTGCAGACAACGACGGAGACACCGAGTTTAGTAAGGTCGAGCATTTCACTGATCACCAGGGGGCTTGGTATATCTACGATCACACATGTGAGCAAGCACTCGATTTGAACTTGGCGAATGAGGACCTGGACCACATGGCCTACATGGCGAGTGAGTACTGGGACGGCACATCGGACGATGAGGAGCTTCAGAACTGGTAATATTACGGCGAAGAAGACGACGAGGATGGAGAAGATGACCAAGAAGATGAGGAAACGCTGGATGATCCTCTCGACTCATCGCCGTCCGACCACTCCTATTACGGCAAGTACGGAAAACGCAAGAAAAGCAACACACGCACGGCGGCAAAGGCTACGACAACCGACGTCGCGATTCCAGCAAAGGACCCGGTGACTGATCTCGAAACTTTGGACGTGGTAAACAAGGTGGTAAAGATAGACGTGGAGCAGCCCACTTCGGAGGAAAAAGCACAGGCAAAGGCAGCAGAGGCTTCGGCGGAAAAGGCAAAGGCTCCAAGGGCAACGGTACAGACAACTCTGGAGCTCACGGTGGATCTGGACATACTATGGACCAGCACCAGCAACAGCAGGCCTACCCGTCGACATCTCACGGGCAGCGTGCATCGGCATCGGGATGTGAGAAGTGCGGCAGCAGGTGGCACTCAGTAAAGGACTGCCCGGTCAGCAAGGCCGCGCAGCGAAGGGTCAACTTCGTCGGCAGCAACTTCACCTTCACGACCAGCGCGACGGAAATCAAGCTACCACCGCCACCTTCATCATCGGCAGAACATCAACGACACCCAGAAACACGGTCAGAACAGCGACGAATTCCAGACAAGCCTGAAATTATCGCTGATGAAGATGATGAGTATCAAGCGGCAGTGGAAGCACACGCTGAAAAATACTACCGCGAGGATCCCTTGTTCCATAGCAAAGGTGACCCCTGGCAACAACGGCAAGCAGGAGCAACAGCAAGTGACGCGGGCACAATCTATCCTCAGAACAGTCACCATCGGAACCACGGTCGACGAACTCCGATGGCGGTCCAGACGCAGACATTCCAAAGACGGCGACCAATAAGACCTTCGACTTCAACGATTCAGTTGTGAAAAAGACTAACGCCAAAGATCGTGGACAGAGCCTTCTGTTTGGCCTGGGCTGGCAGTCAAAGGACAATCCGTCATTGCCCACGGGACCAGTACGACAAAGACAAGATGAAGACGGCGAATCACCAGCTCAGGACCACGGAGTTGCCCTTGTTCGTGGCGTGTCCGCAGAGCAGGAAGACGTGTTTGGGGCACACCACCTCAACAAAAAGGTAGAGAACGACGAGGTTGTATTGTGGATCCAGGTACGGCCTCAGGCATATGTGGCACTGACGCGCTGCTGAACTACAACGGTAAGCACAACAAGGACTACACGATCTCACCAGGCAAGGGCAGCTTCACTGGCATCAGCGGCAACTTCGCGTATTGCCACTACGTTCGACGCCAGGCGTGACGAAAAGCGGACCAGAAGTGCAGCAACATCAAGAGTGACGACACTCACTACATGACATCCGGTACGAGGTCGTCGGCAGTCCTCACAGGCACTACGACCACAGTTCAAGGCATGAAGCAGCACTGGGGTGGACACATCTATACCGACGACTGCTTTTCTCACCACCTCGAGCAGGAGCACGAGGACTGGCTTAAGCAACGATCAAAGGCCATGCCGGAAGAGTTCTACACCAAATCAGGCCTGGAGGTCATCACCCCAGACTACTTTGAAATATGGCTGACGCAACATCGAGATCTACAGACTGTCTGGGCGTTTCAGGAGCAGCGGTCAGGATCAAGGCGATTGTCGTTGGCAGCATTGCGTTCTGGACTCCCGGCTCTGTTTCCAGTTGACTACCGTTACAGCTGGGACATGATGAACGGTAAACATCGCGACTACATCAGCAAGGTTCAGACAATCTTCAGGCCGATCGTGAAGTGATCCTCGCCAGAATGCAGGATCTAGACAGCCAGGTGCAAAACGAGAGGCGCAGGTGTTGCAGCAACTGAACGCCAAGAGGAGTTTCCAATGCTGGAATGGCTGTTCAACGGCATTGCAAAACAATATGAAAATGGTCACGGCTGCTTTAACGATAATGGCCTACGCTCTCAGATATGCACTCAATCACCGCTGAAGCAGAACACCAGCATCGTGAACAATAAGGTCAGGCGCGCAGATGGATGTGCACATGGATGTGCAAGCGCAGATAGTCAGCCATTGGAGGAGCCATACCGTTTCGACACCAACATTCAGATGAAGAAGCCATCGAGGCGCTGCACTGGTGCAACGACATGCAGCGATTGAGAGCACGGTTCCAGGAGCTGGAATTAAGACGGTGGCTTCTACCACAGTATACACACGACAGATGCGCAGGAGCTTGGTTTCGGACATCGCGGTATTCGCAACAAGATTTACATGTGCACCACTGCTGACCACGGCAGCCTATCACAGCACCGTCTTGTCCCAGGGACGTCAAGAAGCAGAAGCCATTCGAGTTCAGATGCTACATCCGAAGGCTACTGCACCGACGCTTGGCACCGAAGGCTCAGCGGCATAGGACATCCCAACACTGACGGATGGTTTTCTGGAGCAAGGACAATGGCGTGGATGACAAACCGGACTCAGACTGGAACTACCTCCAGGTACAGCGGGCCAGCTGTGGCCCCGCTCGGGTCTGGCGCTGAGGCAAGGTCTTGGTATCCATGAAGGTGTTATCGATGCAGACTATCGTGGAGAACTGATCGCTCTTCTGGAGAATCGTGGCAACAGTCGCTTCAATGGTCAGCGTGGACGTAGAAGTTGGACAACACATAGTTATTCCGACGTCCAAGACACCAGAACGGATCGACAAGCACATCGACAGTTGTGAAGCAATTCTTGGAGAGAAAGGCTTTGGAAGTACTGGAGATCAGGCGTTGAAGCACACCCTCTCGTCGGAAAACCTATGGTCATGCCCAAAGTGCAAGCACGGAGGAGATCGTGAACACAGCAGACTCCCTGGAAGGTGCAAGCTAGCGCCAGCAGTATCGAAGGCACCACTGACAAGACCAAAGGCAACACCAGCGAGGGCGGCAGCGGCGAAAGCACCGGCACCAGCAGCACCAGTAGCACGACGACCAGTTATAGCGGAACCTCAAGGAGCACCTGGTCTTCATGCGCCACCCGATCCAATACCCGATCCACGACAATTAGAAAAGTTGGACGGTAATATCCTATTACCACCGCCGAATTCGACATCGTCAGGGTCGGCAGCAGCACCATCTATGGAAACACAAGTCACCACACGACAGGCTCGGCCAATACAGCGGCCAGCCGACAACATCGTGAAGATGAGTAAGGCCTTCGCCAGGCTAAAGCGCGTAAAGGTGGACGACTTCACAATCAACATTCACGAGCAGCTCAAGAATTTTGATCAGATATGGTTAACAAGGTTCTTGGCGGACATTGCTGAACAGCATACTGGGGTACTCACGGAAACGACATCGAGATAGCAACTCTGCCTAGGTGATGATCCGGATGGAACATCACTCATGCTTATGGATGTCCTCAAACCATTGATGGGCGTCGACTCCCTGCACATCACGTTCAAGCCCCACAGCCTCGAGACATCAGCTACCACCTCAGTCGACGATGGCCCACTTCGCATCATATTCATGGGCGCGGACCTTGATAAATGGGAGAGTTCAGGTGTTGAACCTGTGGACGAGATGACTCAAGCACAGCAACACAATCCAATTCGACATCACTAGTGGCGCATCGCTGCTCAAGGAGACTCAACTCTGGCAAAGATCGAAGAGGACACGGAGAGACGTGGTTTGCCAAAGCTCCAGCTCATCACGGTACCACCAAGGTTTGACTTCAACAAGCTACGGCAGCAGCTCAAGGAGACCGGTCGAATGCAGAACGCTTTCGACTGCTGAACGGGTTACATGAACGGCTCTGGCATGAAGAGCTACCTGGCATGGAGAAGTTCTTGAGACGGCTTCGTGTTCAAGACAAGTGTATGGATATTGCACCTCAAGAAATAGCAGGATGCGAAGAATGCAGCGACTGGGCACCTATCACAACAAGACCGAAGTATCGAGCAGAACTCACTGGATGGTTTGAAGACGTCTTGGTGTGCGATCTCTTCCTCATGTTCGGCTAGACGTTCATCATCATGGTAGACGAGGCGATCTCATATAAAATATCAGAATTGCTTCCGAATGAGGATGCATACCACATCGTTCAGAAAATGCTACGGGCGTGTTTTCGATACGTTGGGCCACCCAAGTGCATCAAGTTCGACCACGGAACAGGCATCAGATCTGATGACTTTGCGGTGGTATGCGATCGGTACAGCATACACCAACAGCTTGCAGGATCGGACGACTCTGGAAACACACACTACTACTGGACTGGCAGAGCGACACATTGCATTGATCAAGACAGCATTGCTCACACATAAGGCCAGCGCAGCTAAACACGGACTGGTAGTACAGGGCGAGGACATTGTTTTCGAGTGCACCATGTGTCAGAACTTTATGCTGGAATCTGGAGGCTGTACACCTGCTCAATGGTTGCAGGGCCACAGTCCCAGAGGACTGTTTGACCATAGCTCGAACTCGACACTGGCCATCGACGGAGCTCGAGAATCTACCCGGGACACCTTCGAGGCATACCTGCGGCTACGCATGATGGCGAAGAGTGCAGTGCAGAAAGCATTTGTCGAGCAGCGTACTGCAGAAACCAACAACACCAAGGTGCAGATTCTCTCAGACGTTGCCAAGCTTCGACCCCTTCAAGACTTCGGGGACCTCAACCGAGTGCCAGATCGCAAAGACCAGTCAGGATGGAAAGGAACCTACGACTTGCTGGACATCAACCTGTAGATAGAAGAACGTGGCCATCACCAAGCACCAGCATATGCCGTACATCGTACCTCGTCGACAGAATCGACCTCATAGGGCACGTTCTTACCTGGTGACGTTGTCATGTCCACCGACTCACATGTTGGCACTGAGCTACACAGTATCAATACATAGCATGGCATCAATATCGCGGCTAAGCGAGCGCGCGCGCACGAGAATACGGGCGCGCGGGCGCGCGGACGCGGGGGAGGGTGAGCACCGCGCCCCCGAGGGCTGGGGCGATCTTGTGCAAGGCCTCCTCCGCCTGCTGCACCGCGGCCGGCATCTCTGGGTTCGTGGCGATCGGCGGCGACTGGCGGGGGGTACGGCCGTCTACATCAGGTCGGGGGCTGCTGGAGGTGCCCCTGTCCCAATGTACCCTAGCTGTTCGCCCCATTTTGGCACCCCTGTGGCCCTGTGGACCTCGAGCGGGGTGCTCTAGAGGCCGTGGGGGCCTCCTTGGAAATCCTGGGGGCACCTCGAGGCAGGGGCACTTCTAGCAACACCCGATCAGAAGGCGTCGGCATGCGTCCACTCTGTTAGGTGGCAACTACTGGGAGGTCTTCCTCGGAAAGATGAAGGGAAATTTGGGGGCTGCTCCGCCGGATGGGGCCGCGGATTAGACGGAATTGAATAGGAATTAGCGGGATACAGTCGGATTTAGCTGGATTAAGCCGGACCAGAGCAACGTCAGAATTTCGAACCAGACGGATTAGCCAGCTTGGGCGGGATTAAAACCGGATTGAACAGGTTGAACTGGACCAGGGCGGGGTTAAGCCGGATTGAACGGGATTCGTGCCAGATTTAGGTCGCGGATTAGAAGATTGAACTCGATTGAGCGGGATTACACCAGATCGAACAGGACTAACCAGACCAGGTCGGGATTAATCCGAATCTCGGACAAGGGCAACGTCCAGGACTTAACCTGGAATTACCTCCAAAAAATTGTTGTTGGTGTGTTGTTATTGGTGTTGTTATTGTTGTTGTTGCTTGGTGTCGTCGTCCTCGCCGGCAACCCACCCGCGACCCACACTGCGACCCACCCCGCGACCCCGCGACCCGCCCGCGACCCGCCCGCGACTCGCTCGCGATCCACCCTGCGCCCGTCCGCCCGCTCTTACCCGCAACTGCGGGGTGCTACAGAGAACAAGCGGTGGGGCGCAGTCTTCGTCAACCTTTGAGGGTGCCCAAGAGCTTCTGTGGGTCCTGAGGCCATCGGGGAATGATGCACTCCCGCGGGGCGCATGCTGGCAGACCGATGTCTTACCGAAGGTGCCTACTACGGTCGAGAACGTATGCTTAGCGTGTCGCGCTGGCGACCCCGGCGACACGCGATGCCCTGCTTGCGGTTAGCGTTTGATCTCGGGGACTGGGACGTGGACAGCGTGTCGCGTCGAAACGAGGTGCGCCAGAACCGACGGCGGCGCGACACGCTGAACCAGAGTTCCTAACCGTAAGACATGCGGCACCACACGTCGAACTCGAGGGAAGATATGGAGAAGGACGGGACGGAGGAGGGAGGAGTACGCGCCTGTACTTGGATCGGCGCGGGGGTGGGGCCGAGGGGACGGGGGGGTACCACTGGATGCCAAATTGTGTCATGTTTTGCGGACCCTCGTTTTCTCAGTGTGGTTGTGTATGTGGCCAGGTAATCTCACCAATCCCCTGGGCGTGTCGAGCGAAGGGGGGAAGTGAGACGAAGGAGGCCTACTCGGGGGGTGGCGGGACTTCTGGGGAGTCCTCTCGCCTTCTGAAAGGTTTGGTGTTTTTGTTGGAAGAGGTGTTGTGTCTTGTTTAGCCGCAAGGTGGACACGCGCCATCACCCGCTCTCGCGCTGAGTTGCCCTCCGGAGAACGCCCAGTGGCAAAACCAGCTATGAAAGACATGCGCCAGCCATCCTCGCTCGTCTCCTCGGTGTAATAAGCGCACTTCGCGTCGGGCAGGCGTGTCTCTAGTTACAAGGCCGATGATGGGGTGTGCGATCATTCGTGGGAGGTGATGAAGCTGCGGACCTTGCTGCCCCGCTCGGCAGCGCTGGCGAACAGGGGGGCAAGGCCCGCAGACACTTGGCGGGCCCCCCACCCCCGCCAAGCAGGGGGGCATCTTGACATCGGGTCGCAGCCGTAGCCAGGGCCAGACGAAGTGCCTCGACAGCAGGCTAAGGAAGCTCTAAGAGACCCTGGTCGGGCAAACAGGGGCCGCCCTGGGCAGACTCTGGCTCTGGTGGGCGTGGCGAACGGCCCGCGGCCTGCCTTCGAAAGTGGATTGACGTTGCCCGCCATCGCCACGTTATCCCGGCGCCCGACCCACAGGACCAGACTGCAGTGATTGAGTCTGCTACGTGAAGGTCTCGTCGAGATGCGCGCCCAGCTCGTCGGACGGGTCAAAATGGGGATCGCCCAGGTCTGGACCTCTCGCCGCTAGAACTTCAACTGGGGCGGCTGGAGGAGCACGCGGAAAGGGGCCCATCACGCCTGCTCAGAAAACATGAGTACCGTGAAATCCTTTCGCATGGGTTCATGACATCGCTTGTCGAACCGAATCGAGCTCCAGTGGAAAAGAGAGCCTGCCCGCCCACGACGACAACGTAGGCAAGGACGAGCAGGGGGCCGAAGCTGGCGCAGCCATCGAGGAACAGGGGGAAGCCGAAGTCCCATCAGCCATGGCAACTGTAGAAACCTTGGTAACTGTAGTGCGTACTGGATCGACTACAGTATCAGCCCGTCCCATCTTCTTAAGAACTAGCTCCACTGTAGCATGTGCCTCTGTTGCAAACTAATCTCCCCATGACATGGTCCAGCTGGAAAAAAAAAACGCATGCTTGCATCAATTGCTCGGGCGAGGTATAGTTGCGGATGTCCTAGCCTGGATAGCAATGGAAGTGAGCAGTCCTGGAAATAAGCTTGAGCACGCCGAGGGGGAACGTCCTCAGGTCTTGCTGGCATCGTCCTTTGTGCCCTCCCCCCCCGTTGCTCAAACTGTGCCAACCTCTGCCTGGCAACGCCGAACTGCTGCTGTTGGCTGCTGGAGGGGGCACAAGGGGAAGCTGCCGCAGGAACAGGAGCGGGCTCGACAGGGTCCGCCGCTCCATCGCCGCCTCCTGCCTTGGCTCGGGCAGCCTCCTCCTCGTCGTTGGCACGTCGCCTGTTAGCTGCTAGCTTGGCCCTCTGAGCCTCGTGATCAGACAAAACCCCCCTGGCCTCCTCCATGGCCTTGGCGAAGAAATCCATGGCTGTGGTGGCCTAGGAAATTCGAAGCTGGTTGGCGCGCTCTTCGATGTTCTTGCGAACTTCTTCGCCCGCTTCAGCATCCGCTGGAAGGTCTCCGATCCATCCAAAATCTAAACAGAGGGAATCCGCATGGCCTGATACGAGATTGACCAACCTGGTCTTGGGATCGGCGCTCGAGGGGGCATGGGCACCAAAAGAGGCAAACTTAGATGCCAGCTCCGCATGTTGCACGCCCATGGTTCCGAGCTCGGCTCGCAGGTCGCCGATGTGCTTCTCATGATCTTACATCTGCTGGACCCACTTGTCATGTTTGTCCAACTGTTAGGACAATCGCTGCACCAGCTTGCCACGCCCCCGCCTGGACTCAGCGAGCCGTTGCTCCATGAGCTTCTATGCACTGGGGAAGCGGGTCGCGAGAAAGCGGAGGTGCGGCCTTGGACTCGAGTTGCAAGGTTATTGCCCCCTGTTTTGTTGGCAATGCTGAGCAGGCTGTCCAGTTCGGCACTATCGAACCCGCCCATGAGAGCCCAAGCAAGAGCAGTGACGCTAGCCTGGTGAACCGTCGGCAAGAGGCCACGAGGGCTTGGCTGCTGAGGCTCCTGGCTGTCATCGTTGCCTTTCGACATAGACCACTGCTCGCGAGACTGGTACCACGGCGACGGAAAGGTCCGTCCTGGCTCTGGGGTGCGGACTGGGTAGCATTGCTTGCGCCACTGCCAATGGTCCTCGTTGCGCGAGCAGAACCACATTGCCCACAACGCCACGTGCGCTTTGCAGGTGGCTGTCCGGCAAGTTTCCTTCGTGGGGTAGTTGGCTTCATCTTAGACCCCCAGGTTTCATTATTTCTGAAAGGAGCTAAGACCAACGCATCGTGCGACATCAGAAAGAGTGGGGTCGCTAACCCCTGGCCCATAAAGCCCTTGTCCGATACACCTGCAATGGGATCTCGAGCCTGCCGCACAGCTGCCGACAAGCTTGAAGCCTCTCGGCAAGGTTTCGAACTTGAGCCAAAATGGCTATGGAGGATGAGAAGGAGAAGGAAGAGGAGCAAGAGCAGGAGCAGGAGGGGGAGCGGGGGGGAGGAGGAGGAGGAGGAGGAGGAGGAGGAGGAGGAGGGGGAGAAGGCAAATATGATGATCATGATACTGATGATGGTGATAATGATGATGCTGATGGTGATGATGATGCTGATGATGATGATGCTGCTGCTGATAATGATGATGGTGATGATGGTGATGAGGATGGTGATGCTGATGCTGCTGATGAGAAGGGTGGTGATGGTGGTAACCATGCTAATGATGGTGATGATGATGATGATGATGATGGTGATGGTGATGGTGATTGTGATGCTGATGCCGCTGCTGCTGATGATGATGATGATGATGATGACGATGGTGCTGATGATGACGATGATGATGCTGATGATGATGATGATGATGATGATGATGATGATGATGATGACGATACGGATGATGCTGATGACGCAGATGCAGATGCCGCTGCTGCTGTTGTTGTTGATGATGCTGCTGATGGTGATGATGATGCAGATGATGATAATGAGGATGAGGATGATGATGATGAGAAGGAGGAGGAGGAGGAGAAAGAGGGAGGAGGAGGAGGAGGAGAAGGAGGAGGAGGAAGAAGAAGAGGAGGAAGAAGAGGAATAAGAAGAAAAAGAGGGGGAGAAGGGGAGGGGGAGGAGAAGGATCCATCCCATTTCTCCGCTTCCCCTCCCCTCCCCGTGCTCCCCTTCCCCCTCCCCGCCCTCGCCGCCTGGGCCGTCGGGCGCCCCCCTGCGGCGGCGCCGCCGAACGCCGCTCCAGCGCCGGGGTAGCTGCCCTGTGGGGGGGGCGCCGACGGTCGGATTTGGGCAACGTTTGGCCCCGCGGACCATCAGAAAGCAACACAACTCGCGACTCGCCATCGCTCGGACGTCCATTCCCTGTGTTTTTGTTCGGTTTCGTGCGTGGTTACTTCCCCAAATGATCAAGGATGCTCCTCGATGGCCCTCCCCGAAGGAAAAATGCACACGTCCGAGCGATGCCAGGGCGAGGAAAAACCCGCTTCAGGGAAAGAAAGCCGGGGCCTCCGGAGGCCCCGCACGCCAACAGCAGAGAACACGGATAGCGCGCGTGCCTGGGAGCACGCCTTGCACGGCTAGGTCGGGCCGGCGCACGCACCCGTCCATGGGCCCAGCACGGGCCGGGCCCGCCCGACGATGCTGATGGGCCTGTTCTCCACCACCACCACAACCACAAGTTGGAGGGGGAGGATGAGGAGGGGGAGGAGGGGGAGGACGAGGAGGAGGAGGAGGAGGAGGAGGAGGAGGAGGAAGGGAGGAGGAGGAGGGGGAGGAGGAGGAGGAGGAGGGGGAGGAGGAGGAGGAGGAGGAGGTGGTGCTGGAGGAGGAGAAGGGGGAGGGGGAGGAGGATATGATACGGTACGAAGCACTGGGGAGCAGCTCATCCCGTTCGTAACAGTGCTACGCTCCATCAGCGTAGCTCTTAGTGTGGAACTTGCGAGCAGCAGCAGAACATGAACATATTTCAGTATGTAGAAGCGCCTGGCCAGGAGGAGGGGGAGGAGGAAGAGGACCAGTGCACCCCCATGATGCATCAACGAAGCCGCTCTAAGCTCTCCCTCAAGTTTCCCTCTACATACGTTCCCCGCCTTCTTCATTGCGGGAAGTAGCCCGTTAGAAGACAACAGTCCGAGAGTCTTCACTCTTGCCATCGCGCAATTCCTGGGACATCCGCTCGCTGAACAACTTGGTAACGCCCTGGGAAGTCAAGGCTGCGCCACAACACCGCAAATCCGTGTGACTGTCGTGTCATGACAATCCTAAACCGAGCCAGGGCACTTGTGACTCCAACCATAAGAATGCGCGCGGGGCTGAGGCAAGAATCACATTTTGAACAAGATCTGCCCTCCGTCCACGAAGCTGCTACAAACTTGTCGCACGGGGCGCTGAGGCGAGAGCTACATATTGGAAACGATCCGCACAGCATCCTAAACCAGATGCCGACTTTCAAGACGAATGCGCGCGGGGCTAAGGCGAGAACCGTAGCTTGAAAACGGCCCGCCATTCATCCATAAAGGTGCTGCAGGCGTTTAACACGTATGCGCGCGGCGTAAAAACGAGAGAACCACATGTTGCGAACGGCCAGCCCTGTATCCGTGAAGGTGCTACAGACTCTTAACACGAACTCGCGCGGCGGTCACGCGATAATCGCATTTTGCAAACGGCCCGCCCTACATCCACGAAGAAGCTGGAAATGTTTGACGAGACTGCGCGCGGCGCAAAAAGCAAGAACCACAATATGCAAACAACCCGCTTCAAGCCCCAAAAGTGCTGAAGAAGCCTGGAGCGAAACGCCGGGTCCGCCCTACCGACACGGCTGGGGATGCGACTGGAAGGAGTTACCATGAGCGAGAGGAATGGAGGATATGGAGGGGGGAGGAGGATGACAAGAGGGAGGAGAAGGACAAAGAGAAGGAGGAGCGAAGAGCGGAGAGTGATGATGATGATGATGCGGATGATGATGATGATGATGATGAGATGATGATGATGATGACGATGATGAGGATGATGATGATGATGATGATGATGATGATGATGATGTTGACAATGATGACGATCAGATGGAGGAGGAGAAGAGGAAGGAGGAGGACGAGGAGGAGGGAGGAGAGGGAGGAGGAGGAGAAGGAGGAGGAGGAGGAGGAGGAGGACGGCTGATCTTTGTGACTGGCGCCCGCCGACCTGCATCGCGGACGGCAGCGCGGTCGCAGTGGCGTTGCCAACCGCCGCGAACGGCGAGGCGGCCCCGGGGAGGAGGGAGCCCACCGTCGCGGGCCCGCTGGTGTTCGCCTGCGGCGCGAGGCCGCTGACGGGCGCCCCGCCCCCTGACCTGCTCCCCCTGCTCCCCCTCCTGCTGCTGTTTGTGGTGCTGCTTTTGCTGCTCCTCCTCCTCCTCCCCTCCTCCTCTCCTCCCTCCTCCTCCTCCTCCCCTCCTCCTCCTCCTCCCTCCTTCCCTCCTCCCCCCCCTCCCCCTCCCCCTCCTCCCTCCCCCTCCTCCTCCCCCCCTCCCCCTCCCCCCTGCTCCTCTTCCTGCTCCTCTCCCTCGTCCTCCTCCTCCTCTCCTCCCGCCTCCTCTCACTCATCTTTCTCCTCCTCTTCCCCCCCCCCTCCTCCCCCTCCTCCACATCCATTCGTTTTCCTTAGCAATAATTCCTTCCTGTCGCACCCCGAGGCCGGTCGAAACGGCGGGCCCGACGTTTCGCCTGAGACTCTGTCACCACTTATGATCATGAAGCTTCAAACTTGGCATAATCTTCGCAAATGGAAGGCGGGTGTAAAAATGTGGCAGGCGCGTCAGCGCAGCGACCATTCGTTTTTACAACATTGCAGGAGCTTCACGGATTGAGGGCGGGGCTTTTCCAACATGTGGCGTTCGCCTTAGCGCCATGCACACTCGTGTTAAACATTTGCGAGCGCTTCATGGATTGAGGGCAGTTCCTTTTCCAACTTTGCCTTCACGCAGCGCGCGTTCGTTTGAACAACATGCAGCGTTTCACGGTTTGGCATGGTAAGCGCACCAGAAACTGCGCTTTGGAACGATTCAGGAACGTCAAGGCGCAACAGTTACGCCATTTTGAAGTCCCGGGTATGGCACGCTGGCACGATTGAGGACCGTCACGCCGCAGCAGTCAGGTTGATTCGTGGCGTTGGAGTCCCGGGAATTGTGTTTTGGCACGCTTCAGGATCTTCAAAAAATTGTGACCCAACGGGGCACTTCCCTCAGTGGTGATGAATATGTGTAGGGGCCTGTGAAGAGGGAGCTTGGAGGAAGGATTTATTCCAACATCACCGATGAGCCTTGGATTTGCACTTATCCCCCTCGTTCTCCTCTGTCTCCCCATCCTCCTCCCCATTCTCTTTCTCCTCCCCTCCAAGCTCCCTCGTCGAGGTCTCGAAGCTGGGCGCGCTCGGCCCCCATCCGCCAGCAACCCTTCTTATACTCAAGGGGGCAGGAAGAGGCAGAGATGGGGATGGAGTAGGAGGAGGGGCAGCAAACGGAGGGGCAGAAGGGTCCGATAGGTGGAAGTGGGCCCTTCTCTCTCCTCCCCGTTCCTCTTAATCCTGGCCCCTGCCCGCTTCCCCTTTGCCTCTCCCTCTGTTGTGTTTTGTTCTCTCTCTCTCTCTCTTGTTCGTCTCTCCCTTTCTCTCTCTCTCTCTCTCCCTTTCTCCCCTAATTCAAATGAGCAAGTGTGGGCATTTATGCGCTTAGGTGTCTCTATGTGCCTCTCCATGTTCTCTCGTTATTCCTCTCCCTCTCTCACTCGTATTCTCCTTCTGTCATTGTATATGTCTCATGTGCTGTTTGAGTTGTTTTGTTTGTTGTTGTCTCTCTCTCCTTCTCTCTCCCTCTCCATGCACACGCACACACACACTGCCCCTGTGCCCCGCCCAAGTCCACCCAGTGGTGTTCCTCCCTCGCCGCCCACCCATCTGCCCCTGTTCTTCAATCAGCTGCGGGATCAAAGGCTCGGGGCGCCGGACCACCTGCACCACCACCTCCTCTTTCTCCCCCCCTATATATATATATATATATATGTGTGTATGCTGACTCTATGTTTCTATTGCTCTGTTCTATCTTTCGTTATCCCTCTCTCTCTCTCTCTCTCTGGTTTTCTCTTTCTGTCGATATATATATATATGTCTCATTATCGTTTTGGTTCCTCTCCCTCACTCTCTCTCTCTCTCTCTTTCTCTGCCTCTCACTCTCTCACTCTCTCTCTCTCTCTCTCTCTCCACGCACACGCACAAACTCTGCCCCTGTGCCCCGCCGAAGTCCACCCTCCGACTATGTTCCTCCCCCGCCGCCCACCCATCTGCACCTGTTCTTCAACCAGCTGCGGGATCAAAAGCTTGGGGCGCCGGACCACCTGCACCACCTCCTCTTTCTGCCCCTCCTCACCCGCCCCCCTTCCCACCCACCTCGCGGTGCCGAGACAAGGGGACGGCGGGGCGAGGTGCCCGACCACACACATACACACACACACACACACACACACACGCACACACTAGCCGCTGGGCCCACGCGGCCCTCCCCCCAACACGTGCACTGGAGCGAGGAGGGGAGACGGGGAACGGTGATAGACAGGGAGACATCAAATACAGGATTTCCTTACGTATGTGTATACTTTGAGTCTACGAATAGAAACATGTGTATATCTATATATATATATATGTGCGTACATATACATACACATATATATGTACTATAATCACGCGCGCTTCGAGCGCGCTTTCGGATCCATCATCGCAAATTGCCGCTGGGTGCTGCCAGGTTGACTCGGGAGTTCCATTAAGGTTGGTCGTGGGAGCTGCCGCCATTTGATATGGAAGCCCGAAAGTCGTGCAACGGGGTCGTTGGGGCTTTCTACGACGCGTCGTCTGGGGCTGAAAGAAATCAAAAGAGAACTGGCGTGCCCGAAGCAAACTCCGCATTGCCCGCCCGGCGCCCGAGGGCCAGGACCTTCCGTGTTTGTATAGATTACATATGTATATACATACATAAGTAATATGTACATATGTCGGGTTATCAATGTAGGTATGTGTGTCTCGCTTGCTCTCTCTCTCTCTCTCTCTTTCTTCCTTGTGTTGCTTCTATACATATATATATATATACATACATATATATATATATATATATACTTATATATGTATGGAATCCTAACATATGCGTGCAAATGCAGATGAGGGTCTATTGGGATGTCCTCTTGGGGATTCCTGGAGGGCTCGGCGACGTCGTATATGAGGGTCTCTTGGGATGTCCTCTTGGGGGGTTCTGGGGGTTCGTGGCGCCTCTTTAGGGCCTCGTGGGGGCTTTTGGGCACCTCTTGGGTGCCTCTTGGGGCCTCTTGGGGGAGCCTTGGATGCCTCTGGGGCGCTCAGGGGTCCATCTTGGTTGGGTCCGTCCCCTGGTAAGTTGCGTCTGGAGGGTCTCTTAGGAACCGCAGGGATGCTCTCTTCGGGCGCTTCTGGGACCTATTGGGCCATGATGTGGGCACCTTGAGCTCGAAGACGGCCCAAGATCGCGTCAGGACGGTCGTGTATCGCCTCTCCTCTCTCCGGAAGCTTCGGGATCGCCATGGGTGCCTCAGGGCGTCTGGGGAGGGGGCTCTTGGGAGCCTTTTGGGCGCCTCTTGTGGCTTGCTAGGGGCATATTCGGGGCCTTTCGGTTGGCTTCCTGGGGCCTCCTGGTAGCGTCTTGGGGCCGAAGGCTTGAAATATCGATTCGGGTATCCGGGTATCCTCTCTGGGCCCCCTCTTGGGGCCGTCCTGGGAAAGCTTCTGGCCAGGACGGGAAGGGGGAGGAGGAGGAGAGGGAGGACCACTGCAACCCCAAGACGCATCAACGATGTTGCACTAAACCCTCCCTCCAAGATCCCTCTTTATACGTCCCTCCAGTGGCTTCGTTGCGGGAAATGGCCCGTTAGAAGACAGTCGTCTGAGACCCTCTTTCAATCTTGCCAGCGCGCAACTCCTGGGACTTCAACATCGCGGGTCAACTTGAATGTTGCGTCCTGGCAACCCTAAAAGGTGCCACAACACCGCAAATCAACGTAGCTGTTGTGTGTTGACGATCCTAAACCGAGCCAGAACACCTGTGACTTCAACCATGCAAATCCCAGTAGCGGCTGCGAGCTTTCCTGACGAATGCGCGCGGGGCTAAGGCGAGAGCCACATGTTGAGCAAGACTTCCCCTCCGTCCACGAAACTGCCGCAAACTTTTCACACGGGGAACTGGGGCGAGAACCACAGGTTGGAAAGGACCCGCCCCCCATCCTAAAACAGACGTCAATTTTCAAGCCGGATGTGCACGGGGCTAAGGCGGGAACCACATGTTGAAAACGGCCCGCCCTGCATCCATGAAGGTGCTGCAGACGCTTAACACGTATGCACGCGGCGTTAACGCGAGAACAACATGCTGCGAACGGCCCGCCTTACATCCGTTGGGCGACTGCAAGCTATGCACACGAATTCGCGCGGCGGTACGGCGATAATCCCATGTTGCAAACGACCTGCCCTACATCCGCGAAGGCGCTGCAAACATCTAACGCGCGTATTCAGGCGCGAAGGCAAGCATCACAATTTTGAAACAACCCGCTTCAGGATCAAAAGTGCTGAGGAAGTCTCAAGAGAAACGGCCGCTCCACCCTACTGACACGTCTGGGGATGCGACTGGAGGGAGTTCTGAAGTTCTCATGATGGGAGAGGATGAAGGATGAGGAGGGGGAGGAGGATGACCAAGAAGAAGAAGGAAGAAGAGGAGAATGAGGAGCGAAAGGCCCGGAGTGATGATGATGATGATGATGAGGAGGAGAGGGAGGAGGAAGAGGAGGAGGAGAAGGAGGAGGAGGAGGAGGAGGAGGAGGGCTGATCTGGGTGATTGGCGCCCGCCGACCTGCATCGCGGACGGCAGCGCGGCCGCAGTGGCATTGCCCACCGCCGCGAACGGGGAGGCGGCCCCAGTGAGGAGGGAGCCCGCCGTCGCGGGCACGCTGGTGTTCACCTGCGGCGCGAGGGCAGCTGACGGGCACCCCTACCCCGACCTGCTACCCCTGCTCCCCCTCCAGCTGCTGTTGGTGCTGCTGCTGCTGCTCCTTCTCCTCCTCCTCCTCGTCCTCCTCCTCCCGCCAATTTTTCTCCTCCTCCTTCTCCCCCCTTCCTCCCCCTCCTCCTCCTCCTCCTCCTCCTCCTCCTCCTTCTCCTCCTCCTCCTCCACCAACAAGCCTTTTCCTTCTAATTCCTCCCTGTCGCACCCCGAGGCCAGTCGAAAAGGCGGGCCGGGCATGTCGCCTGAGACTTCCTCCCCATTTCTGAGCGGCTGTCAAAATGTGGCAGTCGCCTTTGCGCCAAGGGTTGACGGCGGGCGATGTTCAAAATGTGTTACTCGCCTTAGCGCAGCGCACATTCATTTATTTATACATATTGCAAAAAAGGAAGAGCTTCACGGATCGAGGGCGGGCTCGTTTCCGAAATGTGGCTCTCGCCTTAGCGCCGCGCACACTCGTCTCAAACATATGCGAGAGCGTCATGGAATGAGGGCGGTTCATTTTCCAACTGTGGTGTTCGCCTCCACGCCGCGCGCGTTCGTTCAAAAAAAAACTGCAAAGTTTCACGGATTCGCAGAACTGCGCTTTGGAACGATTCAGGATTGTCAAGGCGCATCAGGTACGCCATGTTAACGTCCAGGAATGGTATGTTGGAACGATTGAGGACCGTCACGCCGCAACAGTCAAGTTGACTCATGGCATTGGAGTCCCGGGAATTGTGTTTTGGCGCGCTTCAGGATCTTCAAACAGCTGTGAACCAACGGGGCACTTCCCTCAGTGGTGATGAATCTTTGTAGGGGCCTATGAAGAGGGAGCTTGGAGGGAGGATTTATTCCAACATCGTCGGTGAGTCTTGGAATTACACAAGTCCCCCTCATTCTCCTCCGTCTCCCCGTCCTCCTCCTACTTCTCTTTCTCCTCCCCTCAAGCTCCCTCGTCGAGGCCTCGAAGCTGGGCGCGCTCGGCCCCCATCCGTCAGCAACCCTTTTGTTTAAGGAACCGGGGAGGGGCAGAGAGGGGGCTGGAGGAGGCAGAAAGGGGCAGGAAGCGGAGGGGCAGAAGGGCTCGATAGGTGGAAGTGGGCCCTTCTCTCCCCGCCCCCTTCCTCCCAATCCTGGCCCTGCCCGCTTCCTCTTTGCCTCACACTCTCATTTTTCTGTGTTTGTATCTCTCTCTGTCTCTGTCTCTCTCTCTCTCTCTCTCTCTCTGTCTCCCCCTAATACACACGGACAACTATGTTTGTATATATAGTTGGTGAACATATATATATATATACATGCTGACTCTATGTTTCTACTGCTCTGTTCTATCTTTCGTTATCCCTCTGTCTCTCTCTGGTTTCTTCTTTCTGTCGATATATATATATATATGTATGTATGTCTCATTATCGTTTTGGTTCCTCTCCCTCACTCTCTCTCTCTCTCTCTCTTTCTCTCTCTTTCTCTGCCTCTCACTCTCTCTCTCTCTCTCTTTCTCTCTCTCTCTCTCTCTCTCTCTCCACGCACACGCACAAACTATGCCCCTCCGCCCCGCCGAAGTCCACCCTCCGACTATGTTCATCCCCCGCCGCCCACCCATCTGCACCTGTTCTTCAACCAGCTGCGGGATCAAAAGCTTGGGGCGCCGGACCACCTGCACCACCACCTCCTCTTTCTGCCCCTCCTCACCCCCCCTCCTCCCCACCCACCTCGCGGTGCCGAGACAAGGGGACGGCGGGTGGGGCCAGGTGCCCGAACACACACACACACACACACACACACCAGCCGCTGGGCCCACTCGGCCCTCCCCCCAACACATGCACTGGAGCGAGCAAGGGAGGCGGGGAACGGTGATAGACAGAGAGACATCGATTACAGGATGTCATTACGTATGTGTATACTGTGAGACTGCGAATGAAAGCACATGTGTATATATATATACACCTACATATACATATATCTGTAAATATATGTATGTATATATACATATTAGAACCACAGGCGCGCTTTGCGCGCGCTTAGGTTCTAGCCGCGCTCGAGGATCCGTCATCGCAAACTGCCGCTGGGTATTCCAGGTTGACTCAGGAGTTCCCATTAGGTTGGTCATGGGACCTGCCGCCATTTGAGATGGTAGCCCAGAGGTCGTGTAAGGGGGTCTTTGGGGCTTCTACGACGCGTCGTCTGGGGCTGAGCGAAATCAGCACAAGGGAACTGGTGTGCCCGAGTATAGCGTATAGCGCCGCATTGCCCGGTGCCCCAAGGCCGGGATCTTCTGTGTATGTATATGTGTACCTATGTATATACACACGAATTAGTGCGCTTGCCTGGTTGTTTATGTATGTAGATGATCGTGTTCCTCTCTCTCTCTCTCTATTCCTCTCTCTCTCTCTCTCGTTCCTTGTTCCCGGCTCCGTCTCTATATAAACATATCTATATACACATGTATATACTGTGTATATGTATACGAGGGTTTCTCGGGATGTCCTCTTGGGGTTTTCTGGGGGGCTCGGCGACGTCGTATATGAGAGTCTCTTGGGGTGTCCTCTTGGGGGCTGCTGGGTGCCTCTTGGGGCCTCTTCAGGGCCTCGTGGGGGCTTTGAGGCGCCTCCTGGATGCCTCTTGGGGCCTCTTGGGGGAGCCTTGGACGCCTCTGGGGCGCTCAGGGGGCCATCTGGGTCCGTCCCCTGGTAATTTGCTTCTGGAGGGTCTCTTGCGAACCCCGAGGATGCTCTCTTCGGGCGTTTCCGGGGTCTTTTGAGCCATGATGGGGGCACCTTGAGCTCGAAGACGGCCTACGATCGCGTCAGGACGGCCGTGTATCGCCTCTCCTCTCTCTGGAAGCTTCGGGATCGCCATGGGTGCCCCAGGGCGTCTGGGGAGGGGACTCTTGGGGGCCTTTTGGGGTCCTCTTGGGGCTTCCTGATAGCCTATTCAGGGCCTATTGGGGGCTTTCGGGGGGCTTCCTGGGGCCTCCTGGGGGCGTCTTGGGGCCGAAGGCTTGAAATATACGTTCAGGTACCTACTCAGGGCCCCCTCTTGGGGCCGTCCTGGGGCATTCATGGGCTGTCTTGGGGGCCTCTTGGTCCTTCTTGGGGCTCTCGTGGGTCGTCTTGGAACCCTGTAGGGAGCTTCTTGGGCCGTCTTGGGGCGATCTTGGAGGCCTCGCGGGCCGTCTTGGGTGCTCTGAAAGCTCCACAAACGAACATTCTAAACATATTCGCTTTCCAGAAGGAATGGGGCCGTGTTTGCCTCTTGAGGCCCTCTTGGGAATCCTCCCGGGGGCCTATTGGAGCGCCTTGTGGGCCTTCAGGGCCGTCTTGATTCCATCTTGGGCGTCTTGCAACGACATTTCGGCGACCTCGGGCCGCCTGGGAGGCATTGGAAAGCCTGCCGCACGTACCCGGGAGGGCCAAGAGCCGCCCAGAGAAGGGGCCAGGGGCCAGGTACTCCATTCAGGGTTCCCTGGGCCCACGGGCCCTTCTCCCCATGTACATCTGCACGCACACACACACAAACACACACACACACACACGCTGGGAGATAACCCAGGGAAACAAGAAACGCACAGATCTGATGGAGAAAGAGAGAGCGAGAGCGAACGACAGACAGAGAGAAAGAGAGGCACAAAGAGAAAGCACCACCAACACGGTCGACGCGGAAATGCACGTTACCCTGCGCACGTCTTGTCTAGCGTCTCCATATTTTGGAGAGTGAGTATGGGTAGGTCTAGAGCGAGCGAATCTGACCCACAATCTAGGCACGAGCGAGATCCCCCCTGGCGGGCCCACCTGAGAGGCAAGCCACGCATGCTACCTCGCGACGACCAAAGGGACCTCAAGAGAAACGCGTCTACCCCGTCGAAACGACCATTCTGTCAGACGGGCCCCGACAGCCCACGGGAGGCCCACGCGCCACGCGTGCTACCTCGCGATGACCATCGGGTTCTTCACAACACGTGCGTCCACCCAGCCAGGACGGCAATTCTACCCCGAGGGGCCCAGGCACCACTCTGGGCGCGAGCGGGCCCGCGATGCACCGACCTCGCCAGAACGGCATGACGTCTCGACGATCTGGGCATGACTGGGGCCCTGATATCCCCCCTCGGCGGGTTTCCCGTCCCGTGGGATGCCCCGACGCCATGCTTGCCACATCGCGACAATCTTAGGGCCCGTAGGGTATGACTGCCGTTCCACCCGACCGAGAGGTCCTGACGATGCGGGCTCGAAGTGGCCCGTGATGTACCCCTATGGCGAGTCCCCCATGGAAGGTCCAAATGTAATGCCTGCTGCATCGTGGTGAACACCCAACTCTGAGGAGACCTCGTCGGCCCGATTTCTACCTGAGGGCGTTCCGAAACTCTGGGTGCGAACGGGCCCGTTCTAAACCCCCAACCGGGTCCACCTTGGGAAACCCGCTGGCCGCCGTGCACGCTACATCGCAATGGCAAACATACTCTTGAGACAAACCCGTCTACCCCGCCAAAGCGACAATTCTACCTGAGGGGTCCAGACAATCTGGGCGCGAACCGAGCCTTGATATACCCCCTGGTGGGCCTATCGTGGGAAGCCCAAGTGCCATACCTGTTTCATCGTATATGGGAATATGAATACGATACTGTCTGACCATGAGCGGTCTCAGTATGGGTTGGCCGACCTGTGAGAATTCCAAGCGTGAATGAACCTGAGTGTGAGCGATGATGAGTATGAATGGTCCGAATATGGTCGAGTCTGAGCGTGACTGGGTCTGAGCATAAGGGGTTTTGAATACGAGCTGTATGACTGTGAATGGATCTTAGTGCGAATGAATCTAGGCATGAGTGAATGAGACTGTGACACTGGCTGAGGGCAGTAGAAAAAGGCATTGAAGGGAGGGAGGGGCGAAAGGAGAGCGGAGGTGGTGGTCATGCACAAGGGACTGGTTCCGAGGCGCATGGGCGGGCCACGGCAGCGAAAAAGTATGGGCTCGGCCCCGAATCCAGGGCGGATGGAGGAGGGGAGCGAATGCGAGGGTGGTGGGAGCGGCTTAAGGAGTGGGTGCGCAGAGGGAGTCTCCGCGTCCCCATTGACAGCACCAGCTCCTCATGCTGGCTCCAGGGCCCTGGAGGGTGGAGCCCCCCCCCTCCTCCTTCCCTCTCCCTCTCCCTCCTCCTCCTCCTCCTCCTCCTCCTCCTCCTCCTCCTCCTCCTCCTCCTCCTCCTCCTCCTCCTCCTCCTCCTCCTCCTCCTCCCCCCCCTCCTCCTCCCGCCTCCGCAGCTGGCTTGGCTCCAGGACTCAAGCCAGCGGCCCAGGCCCCGTTTCCACATCTGTTCGCTCACTGGCACGGGGTGCAGCGTACCGAAGAGGAGCGACGGGGAGCCTGGAGTCGGCCCATCGTAATGCGGGATGACGATTAATTAAAAAATGGGAGAGAACGGTTAAAACAATAGTTTCCTGTTATTTCTGCATGATTTTCTGACTGGAGGAGAACGATCAAAAGAAATAGTTTTCCAGCCCGCGGCCGGTTTTTTTTAATCGTCATCCCGGGCGCCGCCGCGTGAACACGACCCCCGGTCATTTATTAATCGTCATCCTCCATTACACGTACCGCCATGGGTGGCTGGGCAGCAGTGCCTCAGCCTAACTACGGCCCGCGGCCAGATATGGGAGCGTGCAGCCGCGACAGAACGAGGGCGTCGAGCGCAAGGCGTCCTGCTTCCGCAACTGCGGGATGCGCGTGGGGCTCCTCCTGGTGGGTCTGGAGTTTGTGTTCAGAGGTGCGGCGCAGTCACTCACGGGCGGGAGTGGAGTTCACGAATGGCTGAGCCAGGTCGAGTGCGCGACAGCGCTTCCGAGCCAGCACTGATGAATGCCAAGCTCTTCTCGTCCATGGGTGAGGTCGTCGGGGTGTAGCTGGAGCATACTGACGACAACTGCCATCGGGGGACCAAGCGAAAAGTGCCGGCCGGCCGTACACTGAGCCGAGCAAACAGTGGGACTCTGCGTTTTCATTGTGCTGCATCTCCTTGGTCGTTAATGGGTTCATGGTGTTGCGTTGGAGGAGTCAATGCTGAATACAGTGTATCGGTCGTCTACCAGTTTTCTAGCAAACCTTCCTTGTTCATAGTGTCAAGTGGTAATGGCGCACGGAATAATATGTTAGCTTACCGGGAATTCCGAACTATCCGGCTACAACAAAACGTGAAATGGCTTGACCGGAAAAGCGCGGGCTGCTACTCAAGATAATGACGGTGCCCCTTCTTGTTTAAATTCAGCTGCGCACGAGCCAGCGTTGTCTCTTGATGAGGATGTGTACCAGCTCGGAGAGAAACTCAGGTCGCAGTCAGGTTATGAGAGCGGAAGGAGGTTGCAACATCAGGTAAGTCTCGGCAATAAATGCATGACACGATGTCTTTGCGTGCTGTTGAGAACCAGCCCCAGAGAGGGACACATAAGAGCCAGCTGTGTCAACGATGCTGACTGGCGCTCTGCTGTATCTCCCTATACCTCCTTCTCCTTATCCCCCTCCTTCCCCTCCTCCTCCTTCCCCTCCCCCCCTCCTCCACATCCTCCCGAGACGGCAGAACAGTCAGAGCGACACAGCACGCCCACAGAATTCCGCCCAGGGGTGCGGCGAAGACGACGCGCAGCGGACAGATATGCAACCGCACAACCAGACAGCTCCGGAGCAGCGGACAGCTATGCAACCTCTCAACTGGACAGTTCCCAGCCCTCGTTTTTTGTTTAGGAAGACAACTATCGTCTTGAGAGGATGAGGTTGGGAGAAAGGAGGATATACTTACTCGTAGGCGTCCGAAGGCATCATTCTTTGCAGTCAGATGCTATTGCTCAGACCCTTCTTCCTCCCAACCCCTTCCTGCAACACGGTAATTGTTCGCCTCAGTCTCGCTCCCGCTCCAGGTCCTGGCACCCACAGATCCCCTGAGGACGTCACCGGAGGCGCGTCCGGCGGGGCAAAAAGAGTCCGAGCACCTCCCCCCGTTCGGCATTCGAGGATCAAGGGCATGGCTTGGTCCCCCCCCTCCTCCTCCTCCTCCTCCTCCTCCTCCTCCTCCTCCTCCTCCTCCTCCTCCTCCTCCTCCTCGTACTCCTCCTCGTCCTCGTCCCCCTTGCTCCTGCCTTCGCGCCTCCTCCTCATTCTCCTTTTCCCTCTCCTCCTTCTCCTCCTCCCCTTCCTCCAGCTCCTCCCCCATCTGCTTCTTCTCCATCTCCCCCTCCTCCTCCTCCTCCTCCTCCTCCTCCTCCTCAGCCTCGTCCTCGTCCTCCTCCACGTTTATCCCTTGTCCTCCTCCTCCTCCTCCTACTCCTCCTCCTCCTCCTCTTCCTCCTCCTCCTCCTCCTCCTCCATCCTCTATCCCCTCCCTCCTCCGCCTTCCTCCTCCTCCTCCTCGTCGTCGTCCTCCTCCTCTTCCTCCTCCTCCTCCTACTCCTCCTGCTGGCCCCAGCGATCGGCTCGGAGACCTAAAGCAGGCGTGGGCGCTGGGCGCCCCAGCCTTGGCCGCGGTGACGGGGGTGTCGAGCTCCTCGCGGGCGGGCTGGTGAGGAAGAGGGAGAGAGTCGCCATCGTATCGTAACCGCCGCCGCTGTCATCAGGAGGGGGGCGAGATGGGTGCCAAAGTTGTGCCCTCGACCCAAGGTCGAGAGAGAAAGTGTTCGGCGGAAGTGCTCGACCGCATGCGTACTGGAACCGCCGAGGACCAGTAAGGGGGGTGAAGGAAGAAGGGGCGGAGAGGGGGTCGTCTTCGCATCATCGCCGCCGCTTTCGCCGTCGGGAGGAGAGGGAGGAGATGGACAAGGCAAGGGGAGGGAGGGGGGCAGGAACGAGGAACGAGGAAGTCTTCTCACCAACCGACAGATTGGGGCTGTTAGATTCAAAGAAAACCGCTCCCGATCCGCCTCGCACATAGAAGAACAACCAACGACATGAACATACACTTTCGGAGGTCCTCAGAGATTTCTCGGAACGGCACTGGAACCCCATTTTCCTCCCCCGCGGAGCGCGCCAGGGGCGGTGCCAGAGGCGCCGCCAAGGAACTCCAACGCAGTTCCGAGAAATCCGCGTGGATCTCCGACGGTGTATGTCTATGTCACGGCTTGATCCCGAGCGCGACCTGCATATCAGGTGATTCTAAATGGGGGGTGACGCGAATAAGGGGAGCGCACGATGCCCAAGCGAGGCCATGGGAGGCGAAAGCCCTTCTCCCATATGGTTCGCTGCTCGGGTTGAACGTTCCATATAAGACGGCGGCTTCCCCATGCTTGAGGCGCAACTCCTGGCGTGGCCACAACTTCGCTACCTCCCGTCCAGACATCATGATGCGCAAAACCGCTGCCATGCGTGAGGGTGTCCCCCGAACCGTCCTCAAACTGACCCTCTGGGTCAAACAGTGGCTCGAAAGTGTCCCTACGGTCACGTCGGGCATGCCCCCCTTACAGGGGGACTTGGGACGAAAAAGAAAGAGCACGTCAATCATGATCAGAAATTGTCATACGCAGACAGAGCATCCTCCCCCGACGATGTTTTGACTATTGTTGCATATGCCTCCTGTAGAGGGAAGGGGCTCGACTTGAGCCCGCAGCGGCCCACTCCTGCACTGCACGGAGCGCAGGGAGCCCGATCCTTGAGCAGGGACCGACCGTCTAGGCATTCCTGTAGTCCTGCCGCGAAATGTTCTCAGAACCCCAAAAAACGTTCTAAGAACAAAAACAATGTTCTTAGAAGAAAAACCAGGTTCTAAGAACAAAAGCAATGTTCTAAGAACAAAACAATGTTCTTAGAACCCAAAAATGTTCGAACACACAAAAACAGTGTTCCTAGAACAGAAGCCTCCTGCGCTCAAACAAGACAATCCCAGCCAGAAATGCTCCAAGAACATCTCGCGGAAGCCACAGACAGGTTCTTGGAACATTCCTTGGTAGGGCTATATAGGCACGCCGGGGTGCTTCGCCACTGCTTGAATGATCCGTGTATCCTTACCCGGGGTCCTGGCTATACCCGAACGGAGCGAAGGGTCACCTTACCCGGGGTCCTGGCTATACCCGAACGGAGCGAAACGAGCCCGATCCGGGCACTCCCGTGCCGGCCGGGCGCGGCGGCAGGGCGCACGCGACCCTGCCGCCGCGGGCGGCGGGGCGCGCGCGGCGCGGCCGTCGCCGCGCAACCCCTCGGGGCCCGACGCTGCTCTCTCGGCCAGGTAGCTGCTAGGTTTAGGTCGGGACTGTGCCCCTGCGCGGGGATTTTGGAGGAAAAATGAAAAAGACCCCAAGAATGCCCCCAAACAAACGCTCAACAATTTGCAGAAAATAATCCCCGGAGTATTTCTTGGACTATGTTGGAAAATGCCCCTGTAGAGGGACAGGCCCGACTTAATGCTAGGTGCTGGGCGCGCGCAGCGTCCGCTGCGCAGGGAGCCGCTGCGCGCAGCTGCCGCCCCGAAGGGTGCCTGAGCGACAGAAGGCCCCTGAGGCGTGCCAGCGTTGCGGTTTTCTTCACACCCGCGTGTAGACCCCCCCACTTGCCGTCGCTCGGACGTCCATCTCCCGTGCATTTTTCGATGTCGTGCGTGTTTTTTTGGCTCGATGGTCCAGGATGGTCCTCGATGGTTCTCGCCGAGACAAAATGCACACGTCCGAGCGATGCCAAGCCCCAATGGCCAACCACCCGAGCACGCCGCGGCCGCCCGGCCCGAGGTGTGCCAGGGCTGCCCCCGCGCATCCCGCCGCGCGCCCTCGACGAGCGGCGGCCGCATGCCGCGGCCAGCGGGCTCGGAATGTGCCGGTGCCCCCTGGGGTGCTCAGCCTCGCGCTATAGGGTGGGCATCGCTCGAAGCATGACTTGAAGGAGCTTGTCCTGAGAACTCACGTCATGCTGGGCTAACCCCGGTCGCGCGAAGAAATGGGCCCGCCAACCGCCCCCCCTGGTTCCGTTTGCAAGACATGCGGGAAATCTAGGACATCCGGGACATTCGGCGACGAGTTCCAGACCGGCGCCCTCGCGTATCCTCAGCACCCCCCCCTGTTCCATGTCTGGGGAATGTGGCGATGAATTTCAAACTGGCGTCCTCACGTGGGACATCCTCGGGAAACCGCCCCCTCGAGCCTCCCCAAGGAGGCCCTCAGAGGCCCCCTTGTCCCGTTTCCGGGAAATGCGGGAAAGCTGGCGACCGACTCCAAACTGGCGCCCTCGCGTAGCACGTCCTCAAAAAATCAGCCCCCAGAGCCTTCCCAAGGAGGCCCAGAGAGGCCACCTTGTTTTGTTTCTGGAACATCCGGGAAATCTGGCGGCGAATTCCAGACTGGCGCCCTCGCGTGGGACATCCTCGGGAGTCCGGCCCCCGAGTCTCCCTGAGGCCCACGGACGCGAGCCGGGGCGCAGCGGGCGTGTCCCAGTCTTGGGCTCTCGCTCGAGACATCCTCCGAAAGTCGGCCACCGGCGCGCGAGAAAGAGGGACCTCCAGGGACTATTTCCGGCGATCTGCCGGCGCGCGCAGGGGCGCGCCTGGGCTTGTGACACCGGATGGCCTTAGACAGCTGGGGATCAAGACAGCAATATGAGAGATATAAAAAAAATGTGAAAAAAAGTAGCTATCCGAGATAGCTTACCCCTATTTCTATCTTAATATTTTTGTATACTGGGAAACTATGTGATCCCGTTTTTTTATCCCATATTGATCCACTGGGCTGGTTGCTGTCTAAAGGGTTCGTTGTCACAAGCCTGGGCGCACCTGGCGTGTCCCAGTCCAGGCTCTCGCTCCAGAGGTCGGCCCGGGCGTGTCCCAATCTGAGGCTCCCGCTCGAGACACCCTCGCAGAGTTGCCGAATCGCCCCCCCCGAGGACGAGGACGAGGATGAGCAGGGAGGAAGACGTACGTAGGAGGACGGAGGAGGGGAGGAGGAAGGAGGGGAAAGGAGGAAAAGGAGAATGATGATGAGGAGGAGGAGGAGGAGGAGGAGGAGGAGGAGGGGAAGGACGAGGAGGAGGAGGGGGAGGAGGAGGAGGTGGAGGTTGAGGAGAGTTGGATGAGGTGCAGGGGGGCGAGCCGCGCCCACACGCACACGCCCCTTCTTCTTCTTCTTCTTTTTATTATTGTTATTCTTCTTCTATATATATATACACAGAAACTCCCGATCAACCGCAGAGCGGCTGGCTAGTAATTGGTGCTGCTTCACTTCTGCCGCAACATCCACGAGAATCAACACGTTGCCGCCCAGATACACAACACGCTCAACCCGTGGCGTCTCGACACGGAGCTCAACGCGCAGAGTGAGATCACAGGTCTGGCGCGATAGGTTCGCCACACTGCGTTGCCCCGTGCAGGCGTAAGCCAAGTGGGCCTTGCAACGCGCACCGGCCGAACGAACTCAAAACCGCGCGAGCAGTCAAGGCTGGGAGGCGAGGAACGAGGAAGCACGTCGTCGCGCATCCCTGCTCCCTCCTCCCGCGTCCTGCCTCCCTCCTCACGCGTACTGCCTCCCTCCTCCCGCCTCTCATCTCAAGCTTCGCGCATCCCGCTCTTCGCATCTCTCCGCTCACCTCTATCATCCCCCCGCCTCCTCAGCCATTCTTTCTCATCCGCCACCGTGCGGCGAGGCACGCGTTGGAGTGCCCTCAGGTTCCTTGTGGCTCTCAGTCCTCGATCCCCAGGATCGAAAATTGAACGGCACGGACCCCAAAGTCGCAGAATCGCTGGGCTTCCCGACGTGCCTCCCGTCGTTCTCCGGGGCTTTCTGCACTCTGTTCTGGAGCCACGAGCGCCCCAAAACGGGCCCAGAGGGTCCCGAGGGACCTCTGACTTACAACCCGGGCACGGTGGCAGGATGGGCCGCAGGCCAGTCGACAAAGAATCCCTGCTGGTGACGCCACCAGGCGCGTCAGTCGAGCGGAGCAGGCGTTCCGCCGGAGGCTTCCTCACCGCTTGCGGACGCGCAGCTTGCAAGTTCTGGCGGCTGCACGGAGAAAGGCGACTCGCTTCCAGGATGTGGCCTGCGCCCCAGAGCAGGAGAGCCCAGACTCGAAGCGACAAGTCGGATCGGCGATTGGAATGAATCGGATCGGCGGGAATCGGCAGCCACGTCGGGAGAAATCGAATCGGCAGAAATCGGCAGGCTGGTAGGCCTCCGTTGAGGAATCGGAGCCCAAATCGGAATCCCAAGTCGAATCGAATCGGAATCGGAAGCCATCGAAGTCGAATCGAATCGAATCGGAGGGATCGAAATGAGCCCTGCCAGAGCCGTGCACATTCGTTCTCGAGAGTTCCCAACCGCTGAATGCGCGGATGCAGGGCGGTTTGCTTCAACGTGTGGCTCTCGCTTCATCGCTTCCGCGCTGCGCACATTCGTCTCAGCAGTGCGGGCCGTGCTCAACATATCACTGCACCGACCTTGCCGACGTGCTGCAGCGGATTTTTGCGTGGACTTCTTCCGGTGCAAAACCCCGAAGCCGATAGCGAACAGCGAGGTGAATGTCACGTGGATGTTGTTTGTAGTAGCCTTCATTCCTGGCCAACAGAACTCCGCGCGCGAGTCGCTTCGAAATCCGAAACGACATTCTCCAGGACAGTCTGGCCCCATCCCAGTGTGTCCCGAGCGGAATCCACCCTGCGATGCTGGCGCCATGACACCTGCGTCTTCAAGAGCTTCACGGGCAACTGCACGGAAGCGGGTCGGGCCGGCCTCGAAGCGTGGCTCCTGCGTGAGAACCCCCCCCGAAGATCGGGCCAGACGCGACACGCCGAGGACCAACTGCGCGGAGTGAGGGCCAGCGCGCCAGACTTCCTCGCACTGTAGGACCAGAAGCGCGAGGCGGCACTAACAAGCTTTTGGCGCTCCACGCGGATTTCGTGGATCTGCGCTGGTCCCCCCTCCCTGGCGCGCGGAGCGCGCCACGGGCGGCGCCGGAGGCGCCGCCGGGGGGCCCAGCGCGGATTCAAGAAATCCGCGCGGAGCGGCACGAGTTCATGTTTATGGCGTTTTTCTTCCTCGACTCACACTGTAGGACCAGAAGCGCGACCGCATGCACAGTGGCTCCTTCGCACAGCGCGGCTCCCTGCGGACACGTCTCTGAACATTCTTAATGGAGGATGACGGTTAATAAATGACCGGGGGTCGTGTTCACGCGGCGGCGCCCGGGATGACGATTAGAAAAAACCGGCCGCGGGCTGGAAAACTATTTTTTTAAATCGTTCTCCTCCAGTCAGAAATAGGTGCAGAAATAGCAGACAACTATTTGTTTAATCGTTCTCTCCCATGTTTTATTAATCGTCATCCCGCATTATCCTTGGCTAGGAGGGGAAGATGGAGGCAGACCCTCCTGAAAATGGGGCCCTCGCCTGCGTGGCACGCCCACGTGGCATTCGTGTGTCAAGGGGGCGCCTCTCGTGGTGACAAGACATGCGTGCGTGAACTCATGACGAAAAGTCGCTTGGGACGGGAGGGGGGACCAGCGCAGATCCTCCCGAAAATGGGGCCCTCGCCTGCATGGCACGCCCGCGTGGCACTCGCGTGTCAATGGGGGCGCCTGTCGTGGTGACAATGACTTGCGTGCGTGAGCTCATGGCGAAAAGTCGCCTGGGCCGGGAGGGCGTGCCGCAACAGCGCGAATCGAGCCTGGGTTCACCATGGTCCAGCCCCTCAGTTCCTTTCCCCTCTCCTCCTCCTCCTCCTCCTCCTCCTCCTCTTCCTCCTCCTCCTCCTCCTCCTCCTCCTCCTCCTCCTCCTCCTCCTCTCGTCTTCTCCACTCCACATCTCCATACGCTCCCTCCCTCCGCGCGCAACATCATGCCTCCCCCCCCCTCGCCCCGTTCGCGCGAGAGCGCGCGCGCGCGGGGGAGGACGAGAGGAGTGAGCGAGGGAGGGGAGGGAGGAGGAAGGGGAGACACGAAAGGGGGAAGACGGCGAGGAGGAGGTTTCCGCAGGTTTTGGGTAGACTCCTCGGAACTCCTCGGACTTCCGAGGGGAGGGCAGCGGAGTGGAAGGGGGCAGACCGGGAGGGGGGGAGCGCGGCACAGGGCAGCCGAGCGATAAACGAACGCGCACCTACCTGCCCAGTACAGTCGAGTCGGGGCGTCGACCTAAGGAACGATCAATAAGGAACGGGGCCCCTTTTTCCCACAAGTTAAACTCGGATGTCCCATCGAAAACCTAAGGAAAACCCAAGGCAAACTGTGAAGCAGTCAAGGAACACGGAGCCCCTCCCCAACGAAAAGGGTTTCTTCTTCAGGGCCCCGACTGTAGTTGGCTACACGCAAGAGTGGCCCTAAGCAAGAGTGCCCTTTGGTGCACGGCTTGCCGCCCCGACGGTAGCGTCTATGTGGTTGGGCTCGCCCCCCCCCCCCCCCCAAAGCCGCGCACCAAACGTCACTCCAGCGAAGGGTCGTTCTGCATAGCCGAGTCGGGCCTGCCACGGAAACAGCGCGGTCCGCAGGTGCCACGGCGGCGCAACGCCACCACAACTCCTGCAAGACCCTGCAGGATCCTGCAGGATGCACCCGAGCCCGGGTCAATGCACCCCTGGCCCTGCAGGATCCTGCAAGCCCGCAGGATGCTGCAAGTGACCCACGTTTGCAGTGACCCCCGTCGCTTGACCCCGATGGACTCGGAGGCGGGGCAGGCCGGCCTCGGACAGGAGCACGAAGCCACAACGCGGCTGGCACGGCCGCGCGCCTGGGGGCCCGAGCCAGAGGAGGCGCCGGGCGCCGCGCCGTACGTGGGCGCTGCGCCGCCAAGGGGGGCTCTGGCGAGGCGCGCGCGGTCACAAAGGCTCGGTGAAGGGGGAGCCCCCGCAGGCGAAAGCCGCTGCCCGCACGTGCACGGGGCCCGGCGCGCGCAGGGCAGGGCTCGGGCATCGCCGGCCTCTTCGCCGCCCCACGGGGGCCAGCGCGCGCTGAAGTGGATATGCGGCTCCGGGGACCTGGCGAGCGGGCGCCAGATCCACAGTTCGGGGCAGGTGCCCCACGACACGTGACGCTGGCGCCGCCTCAGCGGAGCGCGCTGACTCTGCATGGAACCGGGAGGGCAACGAGAAGAGAAGAGCAGGGCAGGGCAGGGCAGCAATCGGGCGGCGGGGAGGTGGACGTGGGGGAGGGGCGGGGACCGGGGGGGACGGGCAGTGGCGACACGAGAGACGCGGCTGGGGCTCCCTGGCACGGCGTGGGGCACGACGTGCGCGAGCGGTGGGCAAGCGCGCCGCATGGACCCGGCCGGCGGCGGCGCCGCCCGGCGACGGGGCCCCCATCGTGGCGCGCAGGGTGCGCCGCTGGCGAGGAATGGGCCGAGGCCCAGCGTGCGGCGTTGCCCACCGAGGCCGCAGATGGGTCCGCCCCTGCGGGGGGCAGGGCGCGCGCGGGGGAGTCAGAGGTGGCCAAGGCGTGTGCGCGACCGTGCCGAGTCACTTGGGCCGCACGGGGCAGGGCGTGCGCGGGCGCTGGGCCGGAGGCGGCCTCGAGCCGGCGCGCGACCACTGGCAGGTCCGCCCACCAGGGCCACTGCTGGGTCTCCCGGCCCGGACCCCCGCAGCAGGGGCCCCTCGCGGTGCTCGGGCTGAGCGAGGCGGGGCCCCAGCAGCGAGGTTGGAACGCACCACGAGGTGAGCTGCGGCTGGCTGCCAGCTGAACAAGAAGGCGTTTGACGCCAACGGCCATCCCCTATGGGGCGAGGCGGGGCAAGCCAGCCCGCCGCACCGGCCGTCAATCTGGCGAGCCGCACCTTCGGGGAGACGACTCAGAGCAGAGGGAAGGTGGCGTAGGCCAAAAGCACGCGGGCGCCCTCGGGCTTCCAGCCCACATCGTGGGCGCGCCCGCGTGGCATCCGGTGCGGCGCAGAGCGCTTGGCACGGGGGGGAGAGGCCAGGAGCGGGGTGGTGCGGTGGCGGCATATTGGGGAAGGAGATTGGGATTGAGAAAACCCGCAGGAGGAGTGCGCCGAGGGTGGATGCATCCTCGGACTCGAGAGGGGTAGTGTCACGGCAGAGGCCGCCAGGGTCACGCCGTTTGGGGGGGGGCAAAGGGGGGGGGAACGTAGCCCTCGAACGGGCCTCCAGGATAGAGAACAAACTAACTACGTCAACCATCAACCGCGCGAATCTCTTCAGTCGGCGCTGAAACCCACACGCACACACACACACGCACACCCTAGCTTCCTTAGTGAGCAGTAAGCGGAGCACTTTGGGAGCGGTGATCATTGCGCAACCGATGGTGGGAGTGGGGCCCAGCTACGACCCCAAGAATCTCCACGGACCTTCGAACGTCATGTTCATGAAAGTGGCTGCTCTCAACTAGAAAAGGCCATGGCCGTAGTTCTCTCGCGGCACCGGGAAATGTAGTAGACACGTGCGACAATATATGTATTTTACGTTTTAACTGGACAGCGTTGAGGATCGCGGATCGCTTCATGAACCGTTCGCTCCGAATCACATGAGCGCCTCGCTGTCACGCCATAGCCGTATGCAGCCCCCCGATGGGACAGTCCATCCTGCCATGAGGAATCCTGGGGCGCCCGAGGGCTTCTGCGGGCCACCAGGGAGTTCGGGGGATGCGAAATAATTCCCTTGGGGCACCTGCTCGCGCGCTGATCCCTCGCTTGAGGCGCCCTCCCCGGGCACGCGACGTCCTGCTGCTTTCAGAGCGGGGGCCGCGCAAGCCCCGACCCTTTCCCCAGTGCCGGTGTTTCAGCCCGCGCCGATGATTGGCGGCCCCATGGACCCGGCGAGGGCCCCCCCCCGGAGGCCGACACGGGCCAAGGACCTCACGCCGTGATGTTCTTACGACGCGAGCGCGTCCGGGTCTATGCCGCCCCGATGCGCAACACGCAACCCGTGGCGTGTTGACACTGAGATCATCACAGGGATTGGACATGCAGGTTCGACGCGACGCGCTCGCGAAAACGTGGGCCAGCATGTGCCGAGACAACACGCAGCGTGTCAACGCGGTCGTCTTGAACACAGCACGTGTTGCGTTCCAGAACGAGCGTATCAGGGCAGCTGATGTCCCAGACCCCCGACGTCGTAGTTTGTCAAAACACGGACCCCAGAGGTCAAGGCCCCTTCCCCGGGGCCTGTCCTTCATCCTGGATCGTCTTTTGACGGTCCCGAGGCCCGGTAAGGGCCCACTGGCGTCCGCCATGACTTGTTCACGACGCCAGGGGGTCTGGGGTCTGAGTCTGTATGCGGAAGAGCGGCTCGAGCCTCCATGGCCTTGTCGAATCGCGCCTGGTTCACGACCTTAGGAGAAGAAAGAACACCATAAGCAGAAACTTTTGGCGCTCCGCGCGGATGTCTTGGATCTGCGCTGGACCCCCCTCCGTGGCGCGCGGAGCGCGCCAGGGGCGGCGCCGGAGGCGCCGCCAGGGGGGCCCAGCGCGGATCCAAGAAATCCACGCGGAGCCCAAAAACTTGATGTTTATAGCGTTTTTTCTTCTTCGAGGCCTTGCCCGCCTCGTCGATGCCGAGCTGCTGCTGCTGCTCCTCGCGGGCCGCCCGCCCCAGCTCGGACTCGCCGCCGCCCCCGCCCCTGTCACGGCACGCCCTCGCCGGGCCTCCCCCCTTCTCTCCGTCTCGGGACTGCCTTCCCCACAGATGCTCCTTCCTCCTCCTCCTCTTCCTCCTCCTCCTCCTCCTCCTCTTCCTCCTCGTGTTCCTCCTCCTCCTCGTCGTGCTCCTCCCCCCCTCCTCTCCGTCTCGGGACTGCCTTTCCCACAAATGCCCCTCCGCCTCCTCCTCCTCCTCCTCATCCTCCTCCATCCTCTTCCTTCTCCTCCTCCTCTTCCTCCTCGTGTTCCTCCTCCTCTTTCTCCTCGTCGTTCTCCTCCCCACTCCTCTCCGTCGCGGGACTGCCTTCCCCACAAATGCCCCTCCTCCTCCTCCTCCTCCTCCTCTCCTCCTCCTCTTCCTCCTCCTCTCCTCTTCCTCTCGTGTTCCTCCTCCCCTTCGTCGTTCTCCTCCCCGCTCCTCTCCGTCTCGGGACTGCCTTCCCCACAAATGCCCCTCCGCCTCCTCCTCCTCCTCCTCCTCCTCCTCCTCCTCCTCCTCCTCGTGCTCCTCCTGCTCCCCAGACCTCCTCGCATCGTCAAACAAGCACGGCGGCCGGTGTTGGGCAATTTTCGGCCTCCGGGGGCCATCGCTCTGGGGCCGTCAAAAAACTACTCTGTAAGCGAAGCCGGGCCTGGAAGGGATCATAGACCTCCAGGGGTTCACGTTGCGAAAGAATTACGACGTCGTGGGTCTGGGTCATACTCCTCTGCCCTCCTCTCTCCGCCTCCTCCGCCTCCCTCCGCCGTCTCGCTCCCCTCAGCAGGGCTCATTCTAAGTGGGACCCGGGCCTTTCTAACTGGGTCCCGTCATCGCCACATCGTACAGTCTTCATCCCATCGTCGTGTCCGACCGTCATTATCATTTTCATCCTCCGATTCGTTCGTCATCCTCGTCATCGTATCGTCGTCCTCGCCCTCTTCTTGCGTCCTCTTCTTGCATCCCTTCCTATCCTTCTCCCCTCTCCTTCTCTTCTTCCTCTCTCCTCCTTTATCCTCCCCCTCCCATCCTCTTCCTCGTCCTTGTCCTCCTCCCTCCCCTTCTTCGTCGCTCGAATTCAAATTTCGGTTCAAATCCTCGGCGACGCTGGGGAACCCCGCGACAAGACATCAATGGTAGCTAGTAGCAACGCTACCGTGCCCACGGCGTGCAGCAGCGCCCCGCGCGGGCCAGCAGTCGCCGCAGCAGATAACGAACCGCGCACTGTAGGCACGGCGAGCAGCCAGCCCGCGGCAGCTACAGCCGTCGTCGCGGGAAAAACAACTGCGCGTCAGGTAGTCGACCCGGAGCTTTCTGAGCCTGAGACAGCGCGCACGGGCCCTGACAGCCAGCCAGCGGCAGCTGCAGAATGCGACAGCGCGTCAGGCGCACACACCGTTGTCACCCAGCTCAGCGAGCCAACCTCTTGCCACGGGCGTCCACAAGCGCAGCCCGATGATGGTAATAACGAGCGCAATGCGCCAGCCAGTGGCAGCAGCAGCAGCACCACCAGCAGCTCAGACGTGGAGCAAGAATTGAAGCCCTTGCCATTGGCGACCCAGGTCGGAGTTTGCACCCCCCGGGGCGCCCTTCCCCCGCCTGCATTTCTTCGCAGCGTCGCGGCCGACCGTGGCAAGGTTGCGCAAAAATCGTATCAGGAGGTCAGAGAAAACGTCGTGGCACGTCTGGGGCTTAGTTTTCTTCCATTCGAGTTTCGGCTGTCGTTTCGGTTTCGGCTGGCGCGCGGCTGGCCGGTCGGCGGTCGGGCGGCTGGCCGGTCGGACGGACGGGCGGCCGGCTGGCGCGGAAACGGGGCCCGCTAAGGTGTTGCGCAGATCCCCAAGCCTTGCTTTCCTGGCTGCCGAATGGGCTGCAAGAGCGCGGCGGGGCAAGCCATCAATGCGATAGCTGGGGCGTTGTATCCATAGGAGAACACGACCAAATGCCACAAGGACCAGCTGCTCTCTTGGATCTGCAGGCCCGTTGACGCCGCCTTGCACGTTGGGCCCGTGCGAGTGTGCAAACGGGCGCAACGGGCTCTGCTTTCAATAGGTTGGAGAAGGCGAAGCAGAGCGTTGCGCGGTGAAACCGACGCCCGTTTCGGGAAGAGGGCGCGCGGCGTCCCGAGGGGGAGAGCCCCCCTGGCGTACGCATCGCTGTACACCCACTTATGGCAAATTTACACTTCGCACGCGGAAACAATGCCAGACGCCGACGTCATCATTCCCGCCAATCCGACGGAGCCGGTCTCTGAAGAGAATCGGAATCAAGCGGCGGCTTTCCGGGCAGCCAGTGGCACCCATTTGCCGCCGAACCCACGCATGATCCAAAAAGGCGATCTGCGGTTCCTCATCGGGCCGTCGGAAGACTGCCCCGTGCGTCGTTTGCCCCCCGGCAGCCGAAAGGACATATGGTGGCTGTACCTCACGTCCATGCAGGAGCAAGGGTTCAAGCGCCCGCAAGGGAGCTATCCAGCTGCCTGCGGCAAGTCCCGCCGCCGTGCCAGTCAGCATGCTCGGCGCCTCTCGTTCGAGGTTGCACCGGAGGCCGTGCTCGCGAGGGATGAACAGCATGATAACGACGATGATGATGATGATGATGAGGAGGAAGATGATGATGATGGTGATGACGGCGACGATGATGACGATGATGATGATGAAGAACATGATGATGACGATGGTGGTGGTGGTGATGATGATGGCGATTATGATGATGACGATGATGACGATGATGATTGTGATGATGACGACGAGGATGGTGACGATGGTGATGGTGATGATGATGACGACGATGATGATGATGATGACGGCGGTGATGACGATGACGATGACGATGATGATGATTATGATGATGATGGTGATGATCATGATGATGATGATGATCGCGGGGATATCGTGGGATGCCTTTTGGGGGCCTGTTGGAGATATTTTTGAAGCCTGGGGCTTCTTGAAGGCCTCTTGGGGCCTCCTGGGGGCCGTCTGGGGACCTCTTGGGGGCCTCTTAGGGGCCTCTTGGGAGCCTCTTGGAGCTTCTTGGAGGCCTCTTGGGGCCTCCTGGGGGCCTCTTCGGGCGGAAGGCTCGAATTTTCGGTTCGTGGTCCCCCTCTTCGGCCCCTTTTGGGGCCGTCTTGGGGCTCTCTTGGGCTGTCTTGGGCGCCTCTTGAGCCGTTTTGAAGCCCTCTTGGGCCGTCTTGGGACCCTCTTGAGGGCCTCTTGGGTTGTCTTGGGGCGATATTGGGGGCCCCGGGGGTCGCCTTGGAGCGTCGGAAGCTCAGAAAGGCGATAACATGAAAAACATCGAAAACACGATGGAAATCAATGATGTTTGCCTCTTTGTGCCCTCTTGGGGGTCCTCATGGAGCGCTCTTGGGGCTTCTTTGGGGCCTCTCGGGCCGTCTGGGACGCATCTTGGGCCATCTTGGCGGCTTTGGTGGCCTCCCAGGTCCGTCTTGGAGGCCATCTTGGGCATTTGGGACGCCTTGGAGAGCGCCAGGGACGTGTCTTGGCGCCGACAGCGCCTCGGGAAGAGGGGGTGATGCACCCGGTTGGGTGCGGCCGGGAGAGGGGGGGGGCCCTTAGAAGATTCCAGAAACCCTGCCAGACAGCACTTGGCATTCTAGCACGCATCAACGTGCCAGGGGGCACGGTGGCGGATAGCACGTTGAAGCGGGTATGGAAAGAATGCTTCGACAAGGTTTTGAGATTTTCCAAGTATGGAAAGCACTCCGCGTGCAATACGTGCTCTCAACTGAAGGCGGAGATGGCCCAGGCAGCGTCGTACGCGGACAAATTGGTGAAGTCCAAAGCGCTTTGCGACCATCTTGAGCGGCAGTGGCGGGACAGAATGGTGCACTGGAGACTGAAAGCAGTCGCCGCGCAGGAAGGCTCAAAGTGGCTATGCGTCATTATTGATGGTGCTGACCAAGCGAAATTCAGGGTTCTAAAATCGATTGAAACGCCCAAAGCCCTGGACGGCGTGGAACGACCAAAAATGAAGGTAGAGGGTTGCTGGACGCATGGGCTGGAGTTGTCCTTTAATTTTGTCGAGGAGGACATGCCGCATAATTGCAACCTTACAATCGAAGTGCTCATGCGCGCGCTGGACCGTTGCCTCTCGGACTGGCAGAGCGGGGCAGCCAGTGGCACCCCACTCCCATGCCACTTGTGGTTGCAAATGGATAACTGTAGCGGGGAAAACAAAAATGTCCACGTGGCCAAATTTGCGTCAATGCTCGTCGACCGCAGCATTTTCCGATCAGTTACGACATCGTATTTGCAAGTGGGGCACGCGCACGAGGACATCGACTTCATGTTCTCCGTGATGTCTACGGCAATCCGCAAGATGGGCAATTGGGACAATCCGCGTCAGATGGTGGAGAAGGTTCAAATGGCCATGGACGCACACGTCACCCGCACGATGAAGGACACCCCCGTGCGGTCTGGGATGCTCGACGCCGTGCGCGATTGGAAGCAATGGCTGGGGCCGCTCGATGGGGTCGACCCACACAATGGGCTGGTCGGCACAATGTCGGTGCATTGGATGTGCTTCATGAGGCGAAAAGACATCCCCATCGCTGTTATCAGAGATGTTGCGCCAGCCAGTGGCAGCGGGCCGAATGACGTCATGCTCTTGTGCAAGGAGTACATGAGCGACGGTTGCTGCTCCCAGCCCCCAGCGCTCATGCTCCAAGCTGGGGCGTCCTCTATGCTTCGCCCGCACACTGGCCCCCTCATGTGGGAAGGCAGGACAGATATCCCGATGTCGAAGATCGACAAACTTTGCGGGAAAATCGAGCAGTACATGCCGGCGCACGTTGGGTGCGCAGAGTATTTGCGCGATTGGGCGCGGAAGCCACGAATGCACGATCCGCCCCCCCGCGCTTTAGATTGCATGCGCCACAATTACGGAAGAGCGCTGCCGGGGCACGATTTCGCGACGGCCTTCTCTGAAGCGCT